TGTCTCAGACAGATTAGGGTCTAGAACTAGTAAATAGAATGCCATATACCAGTAGTAGGCAACCTCAGCATGCCAGCTGAGGAAAAACCACAAATCCCATCATGCCTCTGCCTTTGATAGTCATGCCCGTGGCTGTCCAAGTCTTGCAATGCCTCATGGGACTTGTAGTTCAGCTACAGCTAGACTGCCAAGGTTGCCGACCCCTGCCTTATACAATATGAAATGCATCTATAACCTACAGCGTAAGGGTATGGCTATGTTGTATACACTAAAAACACTATTATAGACCTTTTAGAACAGCAACATATGCAAACAAAACAACTTTATCACCTTATGCTGTTGCTTTTATTAGAATAAAAATTACAGATATTGCGGTGTACAGGAGGAAACTATTAGTTACTTCATTTAAACAAAAGTAAAATAAATATGCAGCCTACTAACAATTTCAGTAACAGTGTTAGATATGCCTGTGTGAAACATTACAAGATAAATACAAAACTGTAAGCATGTTATCAAAATGTAACAAAATATTTAAATCTCTGACCTCAGGGAACCAAATTAACTGCAACAAGGTCTTCTACAGGCAAACTTACAAAAACATCTGTAACACACATCCATTAGACTTTAGTAGGACATTTTAAAGGTTAAAAGTGGTAAAAGTTTTTCTTTACTGCCCAGGTTACTATTAATATTAAGCTCAATAGCTTCTGGTGACAGTCTGGGAATTTTCTGTGATCGGTTTTCCTCTGTACTGCATTCCCCAAATATTGCATTGAATAGTGTTGAATATCAGGGACATGTCCAAGAGGAAAAAAAGGTTTCCAGAGACAATTCTTTAGAACTTTTGACTGTTTCAGGGAATCTGGGGCAGATGGTAACCACATATAATATTATATGTAAAGTGTGGTTAAATAAGGCATAGGTAATCAACTTTATTTAAAATTAACATAAGGTGAAGAAAAAGTGATAATCTTTTGCAGAATTAAGGCACCTGAATGCTTACAATGCATTTTGGTAGAAAAGTACCGTATTTTTCCGTGTATAAGACGCTATTTTTTCATAAAAATGTTTACCTAAAAATAGAGGTGCGTCTTATACACGGGGGCCGCGGTTTTGAAACTGCTGAAAGTGCTGATACCACTGCAAACTAGCCTCACGAGTGAAACTTCGGATTGCAGAGACAAGATAACAGTTCTGCTCCAATCATAAATCTTTTGTACCGGACGTCAGCTGTTGCTGGGGAGAACAAGTAGACAGTGCCCAGAGCGCTAATGTCGGAGCATTCTGTGACCATAAAAATTTCAGAAAATGAAAAACAACCTGTAAAGCGGCTGGCGTACTCTGCAAAATTTAAACTGCATGTATTCACTTATGCAAAAGAGCATGGAAATAGAGCTGCAGAGAGACAATTTGGACCTCCTCCCACTGAGTGTATGATCAGACAGTGGAGAGAACAGGAAGAGCAACTCCTTAAGATGCCCAAAAAGAAGAAGGCCTTGAGAGGAAAACCAGCAAAATGGCCAAACTTGGAGCAGAGGCTTAAGACTTGGATTTCTTGCCAGAAACCAGTGATGCAACAGAGGCTGAATAAAGTGATTGGCTCAGAGGTAAGTGTGATGCATTATATCATTTAAAATATTGATTTCTGAATTTTGGGTAAGAAAAGTTGGGGGCGTCTTATACAAATATTGCGGTGTACAGGAGGAAACTATTAGTTACTTCATTTAAACAAAAGTAAAATAAATATGCAGCCTACTAACAATTTCAGTAACAGTGTTAGATATGCCTGTGTGAAACATTACAAGATAAATACAAAACTGTAAGCATGTTATCAAAATGTAACAAAATATTTAAATCTCTGACCTCAGGGAACCAAATTAACTGCAACAAGGTCTTCTACAGGCAAACTTACAAAAACATCTGTAACACACATCCATTAGACTTTAGTAGGACATTTTAAAGGTTAAAAGTGGTAAAAGTTTTTCTTTACTGCCCAGGTTACTATTAATATTAAGCTCAATAGCTTCTGGTGACAGTCTGGGAATTTTCTGTGATCTGTTTTCCTCTGTACTGCATTCCCCAAATATTGCATTGAATAGTGTTGAATATCAGGGACATGTCCAAGAGGAAAAAAAGGTTTCCAGAGACAATTCTTTAGAACTTTTGACTGTTTCAGGGAATCTGGGGCAGATGGTAACCACATATAATATTATATGTAAAGTGTGGTTAAATAAGGCATAGGTAATCAACTTTATTTAAAATTAACATAAGGTGAAGAAAAAGTGATAATCTTTTGCAGAATTAAGGCACCTGAATGCTTACAATGCATTTTGGTAGAAAAGTACCGTATTTTTCCGTGTATAAGACGCTATTTTTTCATAAAAATGTTTACCTAAAAATAGAGGTGCGTCTTATACACGGGGGCCGCGGTTTTGAAACTGCTGAAAGTGCTGATACCACTGCAAACTAGCCTCACGAGTGAAACTTCGGATTGCAGAGACAAGATAACAGTTCTGCTCCAATCATAAATCTTTTGTACCGGACGTCAGCTGTTGCTGGGGAGAACAAGTAGACAGTGCCCAGAGCGCTAATGTCGGAGCATTCTGTGACCATAAAAATTTCAGAAAATGAAAAACAACCTGTAAAGCGGCTGGCGTACTCTGCAAAATTTAAACTGCATGTATTCACTTATGCAAAAGAGCATGGAAATAGAGCTGCAGAGAGACAATTTGGACCTCCTCCCACTGAGTGTATGATCAGACAGTGGAGAGAACAGGAAGAGCAACTCCTTAAGATGCCCAAAAAGAAGAAGGCCTTGAGAGGAAAACCAGCAAAATGGCCAAACTTGGAGCAGAGGCTTAAGACTTGGATTTCTTGCCAGAAACCAGTGATGCAACAGAGGCTGAATAAAATGATTGGCTCAGAGGTAAGTGTGATGCATTATATCATTTAAAATATTGATTCCTGAATTTTGGGTAAGAAAAGTTGGGGGCGTCTTATACATAGGGGCGTCTTATAGACGTAAAAATACGGTATACTTCCAGGCCACACTTTTAAATCTTCGTCCACCCAGTTCTACCCGGCATCCATGCATCCCACACTTAAAGTGTATCTAAACCCTAAAACAAAAATGTAATATATTGCAGCGTAACAATCCTAAAATGTGGTGTCTGCATTCATTTTCTTTTTTTAGGATTTTTTTATTTAGTTTCAGGTGAAACAAAATAAAAAGGAAAAAATAAAATAGAAAATGAATGCAGACACCACATTTAAGGACTGGTAAGCTGCAATATCTTAGATTCTTGCTTTTAGGGTTTAGATAGGCCTCAGTGTTCCCACAATGGCTGCCAATATCCTTTTTAGCTGCAATATGGAAGTTCTCCTATACCATGAGCTGCAGGGGATTTATGTAAGCACAATGCTCCCATACTCTCACCAGAAAACCGAATTGAATGTTGGCAGCTTGTGAATGAGCTCAGAGTCGGTAGGTTTCCTGGCATACACTGATACAAACACTCACTGTTTATTCTGCATCAGAGCGCATAAAACTCTCTGCTGTCACCTACAAAGTGACTTGTTCATGAACAACCCTACACACAAAGTCTTATGAACAGAAGCAACCACTTAACTGAAGCCCGACCAGTACAAAATATAATCCTCCTGGTTGCTATGGGTGCAGCACCTTATACCACGGGTGGGCAACTCTGGCCCTTCAGCTATGCTTTAACTACTAATCCCAACATGCCTCTAGGAGTCATGCCTGTAACTGTCAGTCTTGTTATGCCTCATGGCACTTGTAGCTTCACAACAGTTGAAGGGCCGGAGTTGCCCAACCCTGTTCTACACTGTTTTACTAAACAAGCCAATAATGATTTCTTTGAACAGTTCAACTTGCTGTAAAGAGGAGGTAGGTGGCGTATTGTAACATAAAGGGAATCTTTGTGGCTCTGAGATCACAAAGGTCTGGTAACAGCATTCAGGGTATCGTACAAAAAAAGGGGGGAAAAAAAACAAAACACTGTAAGGTATTAGCACAGAGAAATTTACAAAATGTTTATAGTAGGAATATCTAACCTAAAAGTAGAAGAAAAGGCTAAAATAATGCACGTTTAAAACCTGGTCGCACCACTGCTCTTACACAAGCTGCATACAGTTGTTAAGAAATATCTGTATAATCTTAATTCTTCTTCTGAGTGGTCATGTGACCACGGAGCTCCAGCTCCGATGTGTACATGTGCAGGCCTGACAAACGGGGCTGAATTACAGAAAGCCAGGACGTCACCCGGCGTCTTTTACTGCTGTAGCCACTGTGGGCAAGGGACAGAGTTTAATCCCACCATTCACAGAAACCGATCATTCAACATGAAGGATCTTGAGCTTTGTGGTCATGTGACCACTTTGAAGAAGAGAATAGAATGGTATTCCTTAACAGCTGCATGCAGTTTGTGCAAGAGCAGTGGGGAGGCAAGGTTTTAAACCTGGATTATTATAGTCTTTCCTTCTACTTTAAAGAAAACCTGTACGGAGACGAACAAAAAACAAAAAAAGCCTGCCATGGCTGGTCTGCTTTTAAAATGTGTAGTTTCCTGGCCATTGCTCATTTCTTTTGACCTGGAACAACCATGCAGATTAGAAAGTCAGCGTGAAGTCATAACTCCTTATCTGCTTATTTGTTTTAGGTCCGTGTGAGAGAATATTGAATATTTGGATCAGCATGACCACCAGGCAACTAGCATTATGATGCAGGTACAATTTAAATACTACATCGGGGGGAATTTATCAAAACTGGAGCAGATAAAAACTGGAGCAGCTGTGCACAGCAACCAATCAGCTTCTCTTCTCAGTTTGTTCGGTTAACATTTGAAAAATGAAAGATATTTGCCGACTGGTTGCCATGCACAGCTGCTCCGGTTTTTGTCTGCTTAAGTTTTGATAAATTCCCCTCACTCTTTTTAAAAGGTATATTTGGTACATTTTTCAGACCAGTTTATGGGATCACTTCAGACATATATTATCAATCCATGAAGATTCTGTGTGTAGATTTTCATTGTTTTGCCAACAACCAAACTTCATTGTGCCTGTTTAACAGCTTAAATGGGCTGTCGTAGCCAGCAGTGTAGTAGACATGTTCATCAAAACCTTTTCCATCCCGCTTTAAGCATTCAGACAACTGCAGGATCTGCTCCTTGTTTTTTGCTTCATTAGTAAACCCTCCAAAGGACCTATAAAGAAATAAAATGATAAGTAAGTATTGTATCTCCCAGTAGTATGCTACTGGGGTGATTTGCTAAGTAAGGTGAACTGAAGTTTTCTTCAAACACTCAACCATCTCACTCTATAAATCATCTCCAAGGTTGATGGGCAATCCTGTAGTTAATTATATTTTTCAAGTGGTGTTTTAGCACTCTCTAAATAAAGCTGGCCATACACCTATAGATTATCTGCAGATTGTCTATGGTCAGATGGAAAAAGTGCAACAGATTTCTCCAGCTAAACTGTGTGAAAGGAGGAATCTCCCACTGGGCCAAGCTTCAGTATCTTGCTAGTCGGCCTCCCTGACTGGACCCAGCGTGGCCAACTAGCAAGACACTGAAGCTTTGCCCAGTGGGAGATTTCTCCATCCATGCTAAACTGTGGAATCTGTTGCACTTTTTCCATCTGACCATAGAAAATCTATAGGTGAATGGTCTGCTTAAATATATATATATATATATATATATATATTTTATATAACACACACACACACACATACATATATAATGTGATACGTACCTGTATATGTATCCATGTTTTTTTACATGTATGGCCTTTTCACATAAAGAGATGAATCAAGAATTATGGTCACTGGAGAAAGGATTATTTCAAGATTTTGTTTTCCGATATAAAATGTCACAACGCATTGTTTCTTTGTCTAACCAAATCATATGCAAAACAGGGTAGTTAAAAAAGAATATGTTTACCTGACATAGACTGTAGTCTCTGGTCTTTCTGTAATAAACACCTCACTTTCAGAAGGTTTGGGTGGATCATTCTGGTGTTCAGATGGGATATAAAATGAAACGGTGATTGTGGATTCACATGCTGGCCCTTCTCCAGGTTGTATGTATGTGGTCACAGGGGCAGTCATGTTAACACTCATTTCTGCACAAAATAAACAGCTGTAAGCGTTACAGTTTTTCATAAAAAGAGAATCTGAAAATAATATACATCTTTGACTTCAAAATGTCAAATGCAATATAGTGTAAGACACAAAAAAGGCATAAATACTACACAGCACATCGTCTGTGATTATGGGGGACTTCTAATCTCTCCCCCCAGAGCGCTGGAGAGCACAATGCTGCCATCTAGTGTTACTAGAGAAAACTGCTGCTCTCTTACAATGCCTTACCATACAGAAGCAGCACAAGCAGCCATGGCTAGTTTCGGAGTTGGTCTTATCTTAGTATCGGAGTTATCTCTTATTTCTCAAAAAATACATTAGCAGCCAAATGTGGATAGTGTGCACTAATACCACATTTGCTGACAATACAGGACAGATGGTGGCGCCAGATTATGTGCACTACATGCTGGAAAGAATTCACAAAGATATGCAGCCTTCTTAGGGAGTGGAAAGAGCAAAGAACAGTCTAATTCTACTGTATTATTTCTATACCATAAATATGTAGAAACAGAATCTATGTATATCTGTGTATACATATTTGTTTATAGCCGCATTACATATGGTACCGCATCGCTAAACTTTTTTTTTTTTTTTACAAACAAAAAATAAATTCTTTAGGTATTTGGTTTGATTATTTCATTTTTGAGTGATTTAAAAGAAAGAAAAAAAAAAAAGGTGATAGTTTTAAAACAACTTTTACTGTATATGCAAGCTCCAAATTTTTTTAGTGACCTGTCCAATATCTCAAAATTAAATGTAGCTTGTGCACCTCTCTTCACAGAACAAATAAAATTAGTTCTTTACATTATTAAAAAGGAGTAAAAAAGGCACAAAAATAGCAGAAAGGGAGGGAGGATTGGAGTACACTCAGCAAGATGGAATCAATTAACTCAGTAAACATCCAAGACCCATATATACTATAGAACATCCTTACATAATCTTTTACTCTTTCTAATTAGTGGATTAATAATGTATGAATTAGAGGGTGGTTACTTTTTTCATTGTTCCCTTGAATATAGCTGAAGAGGCGCATGAAGCCTTTGCTAACAGCGCTGTCCCATTCTTTTATTGATGACATCTCAGTGCTCACCCACTTTGTAGGTTCATATTGCCGCAGTTCATAATCTGAAGTCTGCAAGACAGAATAGAGAACAAAATTGGTCACATGATGTCCAATAAAACAAATAAATAAATACAAAAAAAATGCTTTGCAGGTTTAAAGAAAACTCACAAGGAAAGGTCATTGTAGGTATCTGAATATCCACTTTCTGTAAGATGGTATGAGAGCGCAGCTTTATTTCTGAGGCACAGATGTGAGCTTTTAAAACAAAAATGTTAGTCCTGTGTGAGACTGTAAGGCACAAAGGAAGGCTGACGTGATTACGTACATTTTTGGGCCTGCTGTCAATGAATGAGGCCCTGAGGCCCATGCGCACCAGCTGCATTGTGAGGCATTGCTTAGCACAGCCCCAACACAAAGACGAGGCAAATTGCCTTGTTTTTAATTCACCCTGTTCCGCTGTTAACTCAGTTTGGGTGTGTGGTTAAAAATTGAAACTATTGCATTTAAATGTGCCATGATGCAATGCATTGCAATCCGTTGCAAGGCACTGCAAACCACATTGTGAAATAGAAAAAGCTCCACAATGCTCCTCATCCAAGCACTGTGGTGTGAATGGGGCCTCTATTTTCTTTCATATAATCCTGACAGTACCTTTGTTATAAGGCAATATTTTGAGTGTTTATTATCAGTACTGAGCTCAGTCAGGACATGGGAAGGCTTTAAAATCCGATATTTCTACCAGTAGAAGTAGGGAGCGAAATACAAGTAAATCGTAAGAAAATGTAATTCCTCATAGGTAAGCCTGCACTATTATAACAATTCAAGAGTGGAGGCTCAGATTATAACATGTGCTATATTTAAAGGAGACCTGTAAAAGAAATACTGTGGCTGTCAATGCTGACCTGCTGCAGAAAATGCTAGTCATTATGCTGGTCTCCTGACTTCCATATTTTTAGTTAGTGACACAGAACTAGAATACAGCATGCACAATCATACTGATGCCAGGCTGTGTCAGAGTCACAGGGAGGCAATAGTGCAAAAGACGTGAAGGGTTAATATACAGGCACTACAGAGGCAGGAAGGAGATCCGATGCACAGGAGAGGAAGGAGATGAAAGGGTTAAAAAAGATCCCACAATATATTACAACCCCTTACCATGAATCATCTGCTACTGCTGATCCCTTCATTCACAAATGTTTATTGAGAAATACTCACTTCTTCTCTTTTCTCAGAGGGGGGGCTCTCAGATGTAAACACTATATAGGGTTATTCACAAAGCTAGCCGAAGGATCAGCCGTAGCTGTACAGGCTATTCACTATAGCCCATACAGCTCCCAAAGGCGGCCGAGCCGAAGGCATATGCTTCGGCTCGAATGAGCCAAAGTGACACCCGAAGCGGCCCAAACGGCCGTCCGAAATCATGGCAACTGACAGCTGGGCAGAGCCAGCTGTGACCTCACGGCTGGCTCTGCCCAGTTGCAATGACAGATCAGCGTTCCCAGGTTACCTGGGGACACTGAACTGTCATTGAACAATGACAACTGGGCGGAGCCGGCCGTGATCGCACTTCATTGGCATTCATTGCTCAGACTCTAGCAGGTCCTGGCCAATAGGAAACAGTTGGTCGGAGCTAGCTGTCATTGCTAGCTCCGCCTAATTGTTGTTTTTTTTAAATTCTTTTTTTAAAGAAATCTCTATTTATTTTTTTAAATGTATTTAAATTATCCCCGAGTTTGGCTCGGGGATAATTTTCAGGACCAAGAGCGGTAACCCCGAGCCACACACGGGATTGCGCAAAAGTGTCATTTACCTTGTCCATGCGAGCCCGCGTTGTCCTCTGCTGTTTTCGCCCGGCCGATGCCGGCATTCAGTTTCGTTTTCGGGCGTCACAGCGGAGGTCGGAGGCGGCGGGAAATTCAAAAGTGCAAACATGACATTTACACAGAATACACACAATACAATGTAATCTGCTATAATTACATATATTTATCAAACTATTTCACTTAAATTTTGTCCCTAGGGCTTTGTCCAGTGCCCTATGTACCGCTTTGGCATGCTAAGAGCCTCCATAATCATACCGCCAGGGAGGTTAAAACATTTTTTTTCAACTTCTTTCACTGATTTTCTATTCTGCTCAATACCACTGAGGTACCGAGCAGAATAGCCAAGCCGAAAGTCGCTCGGCAGCATTCGGCTATTCACTCAAAGCCCAACGCCACCCAAAACTTTTTTTTTTGGATTAGAGTTTGGGTTACAGCTTCTGTCAGGTTTTCATCGCCATCTGTGTTCCTATTACACCCCACTTCACATAGGTTATCGCATGGTTCTTGCAAAAGAATGGAATTATAGAACATTATTATGTATAGGTGGACAGCTACTTTTATATACAGTAAGTAGAATGTAAACAGCCGCTCAATTAGAAAACATTCTCTGGACTGTACCTGAGTTTCCAAAGCTTTCCACTTTGGGCTCTCAATTCCAGAGGAAAACAAAACTTGTTTCATCACATTGAACATTTTCCAGCTGAAAAATAAATAAATATATGATATTATTGTTATTCTACAGGATTTATATAGCGCCAACAGTTTGCGCAGCGCTTTACAATATAAGTTACAACCACAATACAGTTCAAGACAGGATGGTAAGGAGGGCCCTGCCCGTGAGGGCTTACAATCTAAAAGGGAGGGCAAGTGATACATGAGGAGGTAGCTGTGAGGGGATGAATTGTTTGAGAACGTGATGGTTGAGTGTAGGGATGCACAGATACTTTTCGAGTACCAGTGCAGATACTTGGCATTTTCATGAGAACTATCAGGGTTGCAGCGGTTGCAGCTGGGACCTGGCTCTGGCACTCCACCACTGTCCTGAAATCATTCATCTGTATTGTTTTAGAAAAACTGTCACATGACAATAAACAAAAATGTATCAGTACTCGTACTTGTAAGTACTCGGCAAGTACCAGTACTCGCAAAACTGGTATCTGTGCATCCCTTTATTTATATTTATAAAAACAAAAAATCGTACATTAAAACAGAGATGTACAAATCTCAGGAGCTCCGTGTGCTACTTACAAATGACAGCTGCCTCCTAACTTTTGAATTTTCCTTTAGTCTAGTCTTAGAGCTCAAAAGTATCGGTACATGTACTCGTACTTATACCGAGTACTGTACTTGGTATCTGTGCAACCCTAGTTGAGTGGTTAGGTTGCGGTGGGATAGGCTTCCCTGAAGAGATGAGTCTTTAGTGATCGTCTAAAGGCAGTTAGATGTATAAATCTGAAAATTACACTGCACACAAAATACTTCTATATGCAAAGTAGTGAATGAAGATAAAAGCCCAAATGATTGCCATCTGTAATATAAAACAGGAGCCTTTATACAGTATATGTCCTTGTAAAATATTATTTAGTAAGAGTACATGGCTAATCTGACTGGGAATGTTCTTTGTTTCAGGTGAATTTAGGATTATTTAAGTTCAGCCACTATAGGGGGCAGTATAAAAATATCTCCACCGAATCTCCGAAGAAGTCTCTTCTTTTCATTTCCTTGGGTGCTGGAACAACTGGTGGATGGCACCACAATTTACACTGAGAGATATGTTGTTTGCACACCAGTCTGCCTCAAGTGGCATCTTTAATAACATTCTTGCAGCGCAATATAAATGAATGAAACCTTTTGGGACCATGCAGGGTAGGGTCCCTTCCTCAAGCACAAAGGGACCCTGCGTGTAGAGCTGCAACTAACAATTATTTTTATAATCGATTAAGTGGCCGATTATTTTATCGAATTAATCAATTAACCGGATAAAAAAATACCATGTTTAATTTAAAATAAAATACACAAATGCAGTGTTACAAACACAAAGTTTACTTCAGAATGAAACTGCATGCACAGTTTTTTGCAATCGCACTGCACTAGAATGCATGGCATTGGGGTACTGTGCGTTCCAGTGCGGGCGATCATACTGTGGGTGGAAGGGCGCGTTTGGAGTGGAGTGGAGTTTGCAGTGCCATTGAAATGAATGGCACTGCAATGCACCTCCTGCAGCAGAATTTGGCAGGCCGAAAAGAAAATGACTTTTTTCACACGTCCTATACATTTATTTAAATGATTGTATTGTAAGCACATGGCGCTTGCATAGCTTCAACCAGGGAATGACAGCTGCCAGTGGCAAGATTCCAGATGGCAGTTGAATGTAAATACAGCAGATAGTGGGCTGGTAAAATAGCCAGCCTCCTATAGGCCATTTCAAATTGCAATAGCAGGCTGGCTATTGCACCCACTGATTGTTGTGCCCTCCTCCCAGCATGGAGGAGAGAGCTAGGGGATCCAACTAATTGATAAAGAGAATAGTTGACAACTATGCTCATAATTGATTAATCGATTAGTTGGTTGCAGCCCTACCTGAGTGGTCCCGAAACGTTGCATTAGTTTATATTATGCCTCAAGAAGGTTATTAAAGATGACATTCTGAAGCAGACTGGTGTGTAAACAACATATCTCTCAGAGAATGGGGGCAGGGCACATTAAGGGTCCATTCACACTGTTGCATTGCGGATAAAGCAGGCTTAACTACAATGCACATTGATGCACATAACATGCATCAGCATTTATTTTCAATGGCACCCCAATGCACACATGTGTTGTAAGGCATTACTTGGCAAGGCACTGCCAAGCATTGTGGTGCATGGCGGTGTAAAAAATGGCACATGTCTGTTTTTTCAGCGTTTTGGTGTGTTTAACAATATAAGGAGCACAGCAATCGTAGCTTCTCTATTTCTCTTAGCCTAGATAAAGGTAATGTATATTGGATTTTCAGTGAGCACATATTTTGAGTTATTATGACAATGTTTACCTTAAAAATAATTTTCGATCTAGTGATTACATTTTTACAAACTTGCTCTTATATTTCTGTTTTTGCATTAAAATCCAAATCCAAGCAAATTTGTTTTCCTTTTAATGTCACCTGGGTATTGCTAAAAAATAAGCAGCTCAGGTAGCTTAGTCCAGAGCCGTCCCCCACTGTGCCCCCTTTTGACCACAAGATGTCCTCAGTCTTCCAAATTTAATGACACCCAGCATCATCCAACCGAGGGCTATACTGTGAATGTGGGGCATCATGATCACACTGTATCAGTAAGGATTGCCGAGCGGGGAGAAGAGGTCACATGACTGGCCTGGAGACTGCAGAAGAGGCACATACAATATACAGGTGAAACTCGAATAATTAGAATATCGTGCAAAGTTCATTTATTTCACTAATGCAACTTTAAAGGTGAAACTAATATATGAGATAGACTCATTACATGCAAAGCAAGATAGTTCAAGCCGTGATTTGTCATAATTGTGATGATTATGGCTTACAGCTCATGAAAACCCCAAGAACCCCAAATCCACAATCTCAAAAAAGTAGATTATTACATGCAATCAATAAAACAAGGATTGTACATAGAACAATATCGGACCTCTGAAAAGTACAAGCATGCATATGTACTCAGTACTTGGTTTGGGCCCCTTTTGCAGCACTTACTGCAATTACTTTTGCACAATATTCTAATTATTCGAGTTTCACCTGTAAATAACAGGGGGGGAAAAAAACACACTGGAGAACCTTTAGTGGAGGGAAGGGGTGCACCTGGAGTTGGGCTTTAAATGAAGAGATCTGTAAATTACAATGGAATACCTTCAGATTTTTGCAGGAGAGGAAGTGATAGGAAACCTTTCTAGTAGGGACACATTTTTAGTAGTGTGGAGCAAAGTTAGACACCTGCACCCAACATTTTTTGCAGGGACAGGATATAAGGAATAATCTCCCCAATGGGAACTCAGACAAAAACAGAAATGTAATGTAGGAGATATGGGGTATTATATTGTGTTTGTGTACAGTACAATTCATGTCAGTGTATTTTATCCTGTAAACATCAATCTGATAAACATTTGCAAAATTTTGTTTTATTATTATTCTGCAGGGCCTCTTTTTTTCAGAAAATATAGAATTGTTTGGGGCTTTTTAGGTTATTTCCTAGCTAAGAATTCTTATTTAAAAGCATGTGTAAAATTTTAAATATTGCTCAGGACACCAAGTGATTATAAAGGACCTTCAGACCCCCCCACCCCCCCCGCCTTTTCCCTTCTTACATGTTATGTAGGGTTATGTTTACAAAACACTCACCTGCCCAACAGATCAAATGTTGTCCTGATGTGATCTGTCGCTCCACTGCCAGAGGCCAGTTGCCGTATCGCCATCTTCTCTTCGTCATGGGAACCCAGAAGGGATAGGCGGCTTCTAATGACAAGGAGAAGATTGGGATGTGACAGTATTGGAGTCGTTGGACAGGTGAATACGTGTTCTGAAGGTCTGCTCCTGCAGCCTCCCTGGGTATGTGACACAGATATCCCTGGAGGCTGTGGGAGTGGGACATGTCATTTTCACCTAAGACTCGGAGAGAATGGTGGCAGGGGGCGGGGCCTTTGTTCAAACATAAAAACAAAAAAGGTAAACAAAAGAAATTTGTCTTTTAAAACTTGAGGAAGGTCACAGGGAGGAAAAGACTATTTCTAGAGTGAAGGTCTGCTTTAACCATCTGCTAATATGTCAAATACAACTAACAGCGTAGAACAGGGGGTAGGCAACCTTCGTCCTCCAGCTTTTGTGGTACTACAAGTCCCACAAGGCATTGCAAGACTGACAGCCACAGGCATGACTACTAGAGGCAGATGCATGATGGGATTTGTAGTTACACCACAGCTGGAGGACAATGGTTGCAGACCCCTGGACTATAGAGAGTTGCAAGGTGGATCCCAGTGCTACAACCTCCGGGCTTGCCTCTGGAACTCCCAGGCTGTTGTCATGTATTAATATATGCCTTCATTAGACAAGCCCACCCTGAGAAGCCCTTTGTTATAGATTACAGTCTGACCTGTAGAGAGATGACACTAGATGCTGTGTATGGATCGGATCCTCCTGGTCGGTGTGTCCGTGATGTAGCCTGATACGGCTGTCACTGCTGTCTTATGGAGCGCGGTGAGGGGCGGGGCCTGCGCCATGTGAGGGGCGGGGCCTGTGCCGGGTTAGATAAGCTGGTGTTTTGTAAGTGATATGATTACATGCTGCTCCCGCCACACACGGACTGCTGGGTGCTGCTGATTTCATAAGACAGGCGGGGCGGCTCCTCACTGAGCAGTCCCAGTGTTTGTTCTGTGTCACTCATATAGGTCAATGAAACCAGAGATCGTTCACAGAGCTGCATTGTGATAATAAAGAAATCTATGCAGAACAAAAGAGCTTATCACTGATTCAGAGCCGACCAGAGGAGGGATGTGAGCTCTGTGGGTGCCCACCTATTCTCTGGGAGAAATGATAGGAAATTTATTTTTTACATACTGTACCCCAGATAGCAAGCAATTGAGCTGCAAGTTTGAAAAGGACTTGCTAAACTATTGCCAAGCTTTACAATTTTGTTGCACAATTACAGCAAGTCTGCATTACAAGTCTCCAGACCAGCGAGCTTGCAGAG